AAAAAAAAAACCCAGTAAATGAAACAAGCAAACATAACACTCACTTCAATTCTAGACATGCCATCTCCCAAGAATGCGCAGGCATTCTTCACATGGGCAATGTAGTATGTATCGCATAACCCGCATCGGCTGCTCGGAGATCAGATAAACGAATAAATGAACAGAAACAATTAGAAATAGGGCCATGAATTCTGCATTTTAAGTTCTCAAAATTAGGGAAACTCTCATAATCAAAAGATAAATTGGAGAGAGTCCAAAGACAATGAGTAGCTGCACAAGGTATAAGTAAAGAGTGTGTGATGACCTGCAGTGATCCTTGGCGGGGTAGGTTCCACCGGGAGGGATCGGTCTGGACTTTCGTCTCCACTCATCTCTGGGTTTCACAGACTTTGAGCTAATCCCATCTGCGTATTAATATATTATAGATTAAAAAAAATAATCTTGAAAATATAAAACAGAACGAAGCTCAAGAAAAGAAGAGGAAGAAGATGAGTACCAGAAGAGGATGAGGAGACAATAGGGAGAGGAAAATGATTGGAGTAAAGTAATCCGGTGGCTGTTCCAGTAGCCATAGCCAGGGAGAGGAAGAGAGAAAAGTGGGTGGAGGATGAGTAGTCGTGTGCCACATATCTTATGGGGTAAGGTTCGGAACAAGTTGAAATTTTTAACCGCTAGATGCACATCTAAATTCTAAATGTTAAAAAAAATGTGAAAAATCTCAACAGAATGATTCTGTAACGAAAATTTTTGTGTCGTCTTCTTATGTAGTTCGCCTTACTTGATATGGGTTGATATATATTTGCTCCTAAAAATATCAGTGCTAATTTTGAAATAGTTTATATAGTTAATTGTTAGTAAGATTTTGAGTTTTTTTTATAAAATAATACTTTTAATAAAACAACTAAAATTTGTTTGATATAAAAATAGGAAAGATATGATGTAAAGTGATGGTTAGTTATAGTTAAAATTATGTAAGTGAATGAATAATGAAATAAAGTTGATCTGATGTGTAAGAATGAATTATTGTCATTACTTAATTATACCTATAATTGGTAATAGAGTTAAATTAAACCTGAGTTATATTTTTTGTATGTATTGAATTTATTTATAAACAAACACACTCTTAATTTGTTTGGTTCAAATTAAAAAATAGTGTGTGGAAATAACAATTAAAGGGACTAATTCTCTCTGAGAGCCGCGATTCTCTCTCTGAGAGCTTAGATTTTCCGATCATCTTCATCGATTTTTATCTGATTTTTCTGATTTCTTCATTTCGATATCATTTGTTGTTTGTTTCTAGCTCTATTCTCTCCCTTCTCGATCTATATTCTCTCGTTCCCCTTTGTTCGTTGAACTAGGGTTTCTCTCTAGTTTAGATTTTCATGGACCGTACCCAATCTTCATCTTGCGACGATGACCTCTCAGATCGTCTCAAGGTTTTCTCCCTATCTGAAAGAGAAGGCATTGTCTACGACATTGCCCAGGACGATATCAAAGTTAGTGATGATGAGTGCCAGCGGAGTCTTTTTGGCAAAGTCATTGGAGATAGGCCTGCTAGTTGGATCGGAGTTAAAAGAACGATGTCTCAGATATGGAAGCTTAGTCATCCTATGGAGGTAAAAGAATTGAGTCCAAATTACTTTCAGTTCATATTTCAGAGTCTAGAGGACATGAAGAAGATGTCTTATGGCACAAATTGGAGCTTTGAGAATCAATACATAATTCTCAGAGAATGGATAACAAATATTAGCAGCAGACATCCCAGCTTCAAAGAACTTGACCTGTGGGTTCAAATCCAAGACATTCCCCTAAACTGGCTGGGCACGGAAGTTGGATTAAAGATAGGGCAGGCATTTAAAGAGCTCAAAAATGTAGTCATAGCTACAACAGGCAACCATGGAGGCAAGATTCTGAGGCTTTTGGTCACTTTGGATATAGATGAGCCCCTACCAAGAATAACAAAAGTCAGACGGGGAGAGCAGATTGTTATGTAAGCTTCAAGTATGAGAAGCTTATGAACGTGTGTCACTACTGTGGGATGATAGGGCATTTAGATAAAGGCTGCAAAAAGAAGATGGAAAATGTCAAAAACAAAGTCCTCAAAGAGGGTCAATATGGGGATTGGATGAAAGCAGCTGAAGGTTACAAATGGGGCCCAGTCAGTCTTTCTGGCTCAAGAACTTCACCAACAGCAGAATCTCCACCTCCAACAGAGGCTGATCAAATTCATCTCTAGAAAACACCTATTAGTCAGAAGAGTTTGAACAATCAGTTAATACCCAGTCAGGAAGAAACTCACTCACCAGCTAAATCTATAGGCACCACTTCTCAATTCTCAGCCAACCACAAAACATCAAATGCTGAGAATAATGAAGATTTTCCATTACAAATAGTGGAGTCATCTATAATGGAAATTGAGAAGGATCAAACTTCAACTTCTCAAATGGTGCTCCCTCCTCAGGAGGTCCACACTCCATCATCCCCAGTCCTTAAAACTTGAAAAATATCTAGCAGCAATATGGGTAGACTGCAAAGAGCTTCTGAACCTTCACAGATCATAAATCAATTGATAAAAGGAAAAAGGACCAGACAGAGACAAGAACCTGTTGAACCAGCAGAAGAAGATGATGTCAACAATAAAGGTTCTTCTACAAAACTCAAATCTATTTCTGAAGAGGTGGGGGCTGCTAGCCTTGAATGGCACCCCAGTGATCAATGCTAGCTGTGGTCTAGAATTGTAGAGGGTTGGTTGGGCCCTCTACAATTTCCCAAATCCGAGAGCTATTAAGAGCTCACCACCCCCTTTTTCTTTTTCTTTCTGAAACCAAAAAACAAAATGCTTTTGTTAAGTCTGTAGGTAGGAAGTTGGGTTTTGCTGATAAGATTTCTGTGGTTGATCCCTTAGGGCTTAGTGGGGGTCTGCTTTTTTGTTGGGATCCACAGGTCCAAATTATTAATTGTATATGTAAATCTTTTTACATTGCTGTTCAATTTCAAATTAACTCCCAGGCAGCTCAATGGGGATTTTTGTGTATTTTAATGCTTGCAAATCCATCAGATATGATCAGTGGCAGGAATTTGTTGAAGATAAACCATCTTGGGGGAACCTCTGGTTTGCCATTGATGACTGGAACGACATAAGATTAAACTCTAAAAAGTCAGGTGGCATTGCAAGAAGCCCAGTCAGCTGTCAACCCTTCAATGTTTTCATTAATGATATGGAGATGGAGGAAATCCAATTGGAGGGCTACCCCTATATCTGGTGCAACAACAAAGCTGATCAAGATCTTGTGGAAGAATACCTGGATAGAGCATTTGTATCCCTTGACTGGTTTCAAACCTTTCCCAATGCTTCAATCTCTAATCTAGTAAGGAGTGCCTCAGACCACACCCCACTGCTCTTTGATTATGGCTTACCAAGGGAAAGGAAAAAAATCAAGATTCCACTTTGACAAGAGATGGATAGGTAAAGAAGGCTTTGAGGAAACTGTTCAACGTGCTTGGAGGACAAAAGTCTCTGCAACTCCCTTTTATCAACTCAAAGAGAAGATCAAACAAGTCAGAACAGCACTTCTCATCTGGAGCTCAAAATTCCAGACTCAGAATCAAGCTCTCATATCTCACTTAACCAATAAGCTACAAAAGCTAAACCAAGACAAATTTGGTGGCCAATGGGAAAGCTGGGAAACCACTAGAAGAGATTTGGAAAAAGCTCACAGACAGGAAGAAATGTTCTGGCAACAAAAAGAAAGGCTGAAATGGTTGAAGGAAAGAGATTCCAACACCAGATTTTTCCACACCCTAACTTTGCAAAGAATGAGGTGTAATGCTATTACAAGACTTCTTACATCCAGAGGCCAAGCAGTCACCGATCAGAAAGAGATTAAAGTTCACATAGCAGATTTCTACAAAAACCTCTTCTTTTCTGAAGGGAGCTGGGGAGGGGATGTTATGCTTCCTCTCATTCCCACCACAATTACATCAGAGTTGAATGTTGATCTCCTTAAGCCAGTGGAAGAGAAAGAAATCAAAAGCTCTTTATTCAGTTTGCATCCTGAAAAAGCTCCTGGGGAAGAAGGTATGAGTGCTCTATTCTATCAGCACTTTTGGACACTTATTAAGGATGATCTTGTGGCAGCAATTCTTAGTTTCTTCCAAACTGGTATGATGCTTTTCTACTAGAATCACACCATATTATCTCTTATTCCTAAGTGTCATAACCCGGAAAATCTGTCTCAGTTTAGGTCTATTAGCTTGTGCAGTGTGGTATACAAAGTTTTATCTAAAATTCTTGCACAAAGATTGAAGCTATGCTTAACTCAGTGTATCAGTGAGCACCAATCAGCCTTTATTCAGGGGAGACAGCTATTAGACAATGTAATAATTGTTCAAGAAGCATTCCATCATTTAAATAGACACTCTTCTAGTAGAAATTACTTCATGGCTCTCAAACTTGACCTTGTTAAGGCATTTGACAGAGTTGAGTGGATTTGTCTTAGAAAAATCATGCTGCAAATGGGATTTCACCAGGATTTTGTCAAGTTAATCATTGTTTGTGTCTCCTCTGCATCTTTTTCTTTTAAGGTTAATAGAGTGGTAAGTGGGTATGTTACTCCTTCCATGAGAATTAGGCAGGGAGATCCTTTAGCCCCCTACCTTTTCATTATTGTGGTTAAACTCTTATCTGCTTTAATCACTGATGCATGCAATAAAGGACATCTGCAAGGCCTTAAATTATCCAGGAATGGTTCTATTCTTTCACATTTACTATTTGCAGACGATTCCTTATTCTTTTGCAATGCTGGGGTGGATCAGACATCTGTCCTACTGAATTTGTTGGAGCAATACAGATTGTTTTCGGGCCAACAAGTTAACTTACAGAAATCTGCAACTTTCTTTAGCAAGAATACTCCTATGCAGCTCCAGCATTCTATCTGTCAAACTCTCAATGGAATAACCTCTCACAGATCTACTAGATATTTGGGACTTCTCCTTGGAATTGAGAAGTCTAAAAAAGAGGTATTTGAATATATTCTTACTTCTGTCAAATCAAAACTGAACAGCTGGAAAGCCAACCTCCTAAGCCTTGCTGGAAAGGAGGTTCTACTTAAGGCTGTGATTCAAGCCCTCCCCATTTTCTCCATGTCTTGCTTTAAAATTCCTATCTCACTTTGCTCTGAATTATCTAAACTATGTGCTGAGTTTTGGTGGATCAGGCAACCAAGATCCCTCTGGCATTCATTGGAAACAATGGACTCTCCTTGCTCTTCCAAAGCTTAAAGGAGGGCTGGGATTTCTGGATTTCAGGCTTTTTAATCAGGCCCTCATCTGTAAGCAGTTGTGGAGGATAACTACCAACCCTCAACTTCTTGTTAGTAAAATTCTTAAAGATAGGTACTTTTCTAATCACTCCATTGCTCATGCTGTTAAGTGTTCAAATGGGTCTTGGTTATGGAACCCTTGGATGGATTTGATGCCTGTGTTCTCAAAGTGGCTTAAAATTGAAATAAGGACTGGAGCCACTACTAGAATTGCTGATTTTAATTGGATTCCTTCACTTTCTAAACCTGTT